CCCCCCCCACCCGTGCAAATGCGGTGTTGTGCAAATTTCTCAGTTGTTGGTTGTTGTCAGGTTGTCCCGAAGAGTAGGATGACCTTCTACAGACACTCACAGCTAGAAACCTCAACGTTAACATCTATTCTGAAGAGATGTTAGTGTTGAGGCACACTCACAGCTAGAAACCTCAACGCTAACATCTATTCTGAAGAGATGTTAGTGTTGAGGGTTGCAGTCATAGTTACCTCTGCATGGATGTGCGTGAGTTTGGACTACCTTTCCTTCCTCGTTTAGAGTCCTGATATGTATAGCTGGTCGATGGAAAGACCACAAGCCAGCACAGACTAGGAGGGGATGCTGTGTACACTGGGCATCAGTGATTTTCAGTTCATTTCTTTTTCTTTGGTTTTTGTTTCTTGTTGGAGGATCTGTGCATGCTAACCTTTTCACGCGAATCTGTCTTGTTAAAGGGAGGTCTCCGACGCTTGGTAAACACTCTCTCCATACCCACACCCATACCTTTAGGCTTTTGCCTCACCTTTTTATCTCATCTCCGTCTCTCTGCGCTGACATTAGTTTAAGAAATCCCCTTGGGACTTATTGCAACTCTGCATCTGCTTGATGACCCCTGAATATATTGTGCTTTCCCTTTTTTGAGGAGCTGAGCCACATTAGATGAGTCCGTAACGTCTGAGCTCAAACGAGTCTGAGCTCATATGAGCTCACAAGGGCAGGCTGTCTCTCTCCTCCCGCTTAAGTCACGGCTGATGGCAGGCTTCTGTGGCCGCTTTTCTATATAAGTTTGTGCCGGATGTTTCATGACGATGCAATTGAACCAGCTCATAACCTGTTCGGACGTCTGCTTTCCAGCACCAGGTTTGATGAACAGTGGGGAATGCTTGGGTCTGAGGGAGGCAGTGATGAGCTGATCGTCTTTGGGTTGATGTTGCTTGGCTTCGTTGCAGGGTTCTGTCATGGAGAGACGGACTGGGAATGCCCTTCACAAGGTCCTCCCATGCTTCTACATACTTCGACTTCGCACATTTGTGATGCTCATTGTTATGGGCACTATTTTGGAGATGATGTGGGTTTTGCGGTGTCTCCGTCTGCCATTTATTCAGCTAGCGTGTGGTTGGCAAGTGTCTAGATCCCAAGTGAGATGCATGCACGCGGCGGGAATTTTATAACGATTCAATTTTTTTTTATTTTTTTTTTATATACATATATTTTTGCCCTCATCTTCCCCAGTTGTTTTGTTTCCACAATATTTCTAAACTTTCTTTGTGTCTCCTATATACTCTCCTCTCCTCCCCCCCCCCCCCCCCCCCCCCCCCCCCCCCCCCCCCCCCCCCCCCCCCCCCCCCCCCCCCCCCCC